TCTGGTTTGCGATTTGTCCCAAATTTGGATTTGGAAGGCTTAATTTCATGCTATTCCAAGGATCTGGAACAACTGATTATGGCAAAGTCTAATTCAGCTTTTTATAACCTGTCAATGGGGGGCCTTTAGTTTGATTTCATCTAACTCTGCAAATGGGGAAACATGTCTCTGCAGTTTTCCTGCTTCTGATGCTCTTTGCTTTGGCCCAAACCAAAGCTGTTACTTTACCTTTTGGCCAACATCACCTTCATCTCCTTTGGCGCCCTGGAAAAAAAAATTATGAAAGCAAAAGATAAGGTTCCAGTCTTCTTGATTCCAGCAATTGGAAATAAAAACATAAGCCACCTTGCTTCAGATGAAATGGCAAACTCCGGGAAGTGGCATACCAAACTGAAAGATAAGAAAGCACAGCATCCCAAGGGAAGAAGAATCAGAAACCCCAACAGTCCTGGCTGATTTATAGCTTTGTCTTACACGCAAGCACCTCTTTTATGAGATGTAATGTATTTGGGGGCGAAAAATCCTGTTTCAACAGGGGAAGCCCCAAATCCCAAAGCCTGGCATCCTTTTCGATAGTTATGATACCATAAGCTCGGCTTTGTTGTTAACCACCGTCAAGTTGACTTCCACTTATGGCAGTAGTTCCCAAACTTTGGTCCTCCAGGTGTTTTGGACTTCAATTCCCAGAAGCCTCAGCCAGCTTGGCCAACAGTAAGGAATTCTGGGAGCTGAAGTCCAAAATATCTGGAGGATCAAAGTTTGGGAACCACTGACCTATGGTAACCCTATGAAGGAGGACTGCATCCACGCTGCAGAAATAATGCAGTTTGACACTGCTCTAACTGCCATGCCTCCATGCAATGGAATTCTGGGATTTGTAGTTTTGTGAGATCTTTAGCCTTCTTGCTCAGAGAACAGTGGTGCCCTTTGTTGTTGTTAACTGCCCTTGAGTCAATCTCGACCCATGGTGGCCCTATGGGTGAGAACTCTCCAAGACCCTCTGTCCACTGCTTTGCTTAAGTCCTGCAACCCCGTAATAAATACCAATTGTGACCTCCTTAATAAAGTCCATTCAACTGGCATGTGGCCTTCCTCTCTTCCTACTTCCCTCTACCTTCCCCAGCATTGTTGGTTTTTTTCCCCCAAAGAGTCCTCTCTTCTCATGATATGTCCAAAGTACGACAGTCTAAGTCAGGGGTCGGCAACCCATGGCCCGCGGGCCAGTTCTGGCCCGCTGATCCCCGGTTACCAGCCCCCGCCACCGCTGCCACCGCCCGCCACCTCTGCTGTGCATTTTGGCAGCCGTGTGGCCGCATGCAGCGCGGCTGCCATTTTTTCCCCAAAATGGCGGCTGCGACGCGTTTGTGCATGCGCAGTTCTTTTGTCTTCAAAATGGCGGCCGCGGGGGCAGGGGTGGAGGGGGCGCGCGTGGTGGCGGGTGACGCACGTGCGCACAAGCGCGCACCTTGCCATCCCCCCCCCCCGGCTTGCCGGAAGGGACCGCCAGAAGGGACCGGCCCCAGGTAAGGAAAAGTTGCCGACCCCTGATCTAAGTCTTCTCATCTTGGCTTCTAGGGATACCTCTGGCTTGATCTGCTCTAGGACCC